AGTAGTAGTAGTAGTAGTTGTAGTAGTAGTAGTAGTAGTAGTAGTAGTAGTAGTCGTCGTCGTAGTAGGGTCGCAGTGCTCGTAGTAACAGTAGTAGAGACGTTCGCAGTGACGTTCCTAGTAACAGTAGTCGTATAATGAATAGAAATAATATTCGTACTATGGCACTGCGGGCGGGGTAGGAGCAGTATCAATAGTGCGGCATTAGCCGCGCCAGTACCAGTGATCAAGCTGGTGGCGAGAGGGGCCCCGCGACAGGGGGCCGGGGGCCGGGGGAAAGGGGAAGGGATGGGGGATGGGGGAGGATGAGGATGAACAAGTCCAGCTCTAAGTCGTTGCCCCACTCACGACTCACGCCGCTACCGTCTTTCCAAAGCGTTTCATTCTGAGGGGCCAGGGGCTGTTCATTCCAGAGGCGTTTTTCTCCCTGAGGCGCCAGGGCGCCAGGGTTTTTTTTCTGGGTTCTGGGGCTTACCGAACGTCCGGCATGGCGGCGGCGCGGTCGCCCAAGAAGCGCGGCAGGCAGGTGGGAGAGGAGGCCGCCTTCATCGCCGAGAAGTTCGGGCCCGGCACGATCAGCGAGTTCATGGACTACCCCAGCAGAGCCATCCAGTCGCTCCTGAATGATTCGTGCATGCGCGCAAGGAGGGGGCGGGGTTGATGGGTTGGCAACGGAGGCAGTTGGAACCAACGAAGCGGTTTCTTGGGGCCCTCTTGGGGCCCTCTTGTGGCCCTCTTCGAGCGTTCCGGAGGCCCGCAGGGGGCTCCAAGAGGGCCCCAATACGGCCCAAAGAGGGCCCAAAAAACAACAGAAATTGAATAGAAACCGTTTCTTTGTTGGTGACCAGTTTCTGTTAAATTTCTGTTGTTTTTTGGGCCCTCTTGGGGCCGTCTCGGGGTTCTCTCGGGGGCCTCTTGGGGCCATCTTGGGCCCCAAGATGCCCCCAAGAGGGTCCCAATGAGGCACCAGAAGCCCCAGGAGGAGCTATATTAAACCGCGGTGGTTTAATATAGCTGCTCCTGGGCACTCGCGGGGCCCTCTTGGAGCCCTCTCGGGGCCGTCTTGGGCCCTTCCCAGGGCCTTCGGAGGGCCCCAAGAAGGCCCTAAGAGGGCCCCAAGAAACAGCTGGGAGGTCTCATCCAAACGCGCTGTTGGATGAGACCTACTTGCGGTTTCTCGGGGCTCTCTTGGGGCCCTCTTGGGGCCCTCTTCGAGCGTTCCTGAGGCCCGCAGGGGGCTCCCAGAGGGCCCCGGGCGGCTCCGAGAGGCCTTCAAGAGGGGCCCAAGAGGCCTCCAAGAGGGCCCCAAGAGACCGCTGGGAGGTCTCATCCAAACGCGCTGTTCGATGAGACCTACTTGCGGTTTCTTGGGGCCCTCTTGGGGCCCTCTTGGGGCCCTCTTCGAGCGTTCCTGAGGCTCGCAGGGGGCTTCAAGAGAGCCCCAATACGGCCCCAAGAGGGCCCCAAAAAACAACAGAAATTGAACAGAAACCGTTTCTTTGTTGGCGACCAGTTTCTGTTAAATTTCTTTTGTTTTTGGGGGCCCTCTTGGGGCCGTCTTGGGGCCCTCTTGGCCGTCTTTCGGTCAGCTAGGGCCGTCTTGGCCGTCTTTCGGGCGAAGTGGCTGAGACAATTTCTCAGCCAATTTGCCCTCTGGCTTGAAAGTGCGAACCATATTTAAAAACCTTGAAGGCGTATTGATGCCATGTTGGGCTCCTCTGGCAACGGTTTTGGGGCCCTCTTGGGGCCCGGGGCCCCCGGGGCCCTCCCCGGATGGAAGTGGCGCGTTAGACGTTAGACCACCTGCGCCTAAAAGGCAAGGTGGATCGGGGAAAGTCCGGTGACCGCCCGGCCGCCTGGGGCACAGACATGACGCCGACTGCTCTTTTCCAGGCTAATGCTTGCGGTGAACGAGTGAGCGTCTTCAGGGTGCCGTCACACAAACCGCTGCTTGATCTAGTGAATTTGCACTGCAGGAAACCCCTCCGAGGCCCTCAAATTAGAGAAGGAGGGGAGAGGGGGAGAAAAAGGAGGGCAAGGAGGAAGGAAGGGTGGATGTGCTGAACATATGGTTGGCCATGTCATGCGTTCCCCTCCTATCCTCCCCCTCCTCTCCCTCTTTCCCGTCCATCTCCCTACTCCCCCCCTTCCGCTTGCCCCCCCGGGCCCCTTTCCCCCGCCCGCTCCTCGCCCGACCCCTGGCCCCTGCCTTTCCCCCCGCCCCCGCCCGCCCCCTGTCCGGCGAAGTGGGATGAGCTGGAGAAGGGCGCTTCGCAGCAGGAGAGGGGGGGGGGGGGGCGAGTGAAAAGGGAGGGAGGCTTTTGATGAGCGTGGATCACGGCATGAGCATCTGCTCGGACTACTCAGGCATCATGATGTTTGAAGATGCCATCCTTCTGCACATGAAGTCGCTCAAGAGGGTGCCATGCTTCCAGGACATGCCGCTCCCTTCGTTGCATCGGGTCTGCGACATATCCCCTCAAGCGCAGCACGTGATCATGTCCCGTGAGTTCGACCAACCTGCATTCGTGTTCAATGACATCAACGACAGGATTCCCGATCACATTAAGAGCAAGCTAGATCAGCTGGAGCCGCACCAGTCGGCGTCGAATGCCGAGAAGGAAAAAGCCTATGCGGACATGCTGCGCGCCCTGATGGACAACGAAACCGCCCTCTTCGACTCCGCGGCAACATCCACAAACATGCTCTCCAAGCAGAAGGTCCAGTTGCACAGCGCTAGCCAGTTGGCTCGGCTCAGAGCCAACACTCCTCACGAAGAATTAAAGAAGACCTTGAATGTCCATTTGGCTGGTTCAGTGTGCGTGGCCTGGACCCCCCGGGGCCAATTGCTGAAGGGCGCTCACAGCTCCAATCGGGCGCTCAACATCTACCTTGTGGAGAGGCGCGCCATGATGGAACGCGGAATTGAGGATGTGTTCGGGCACGAGTGCTCTCACCGCTTCCCCTCCCAGGAGAAGTTCCAGCAAGTTGCAGGGCCAGCAATGGGCCTGCTTCACTTCACGCTTGGCCCTGAAAACATGGGCATCCCTACTCGGCGCCCAAGGAGCTTCACCTGGGGGTGCAATAAGCAGACCCTGACGTGGGTGGGCCCCGACGATCACCAAGGATATTGTTTGAAATTCTTTGGGGCCGCTCGCATAGCCAGCGGGGAGACGTTCTACATCGACGCCGAGGCCCGCGCCCTGCAGGACCTCAAGCATCGGGCCCGCAAGAAAGGCTTATACATCAATCCGGGTGCATCGGTGACAGCGTTTAGTTTAGAAGACGTCCTGAGCTGCTCCGAGAAGGAACGCTTGCATGCGTTCCGCAAGGAGATGGCCAAGACGCAAACATCCAATGATGAGTACATGTTCGACCTTGAGCAGTGGCCTTCTTATACGACGTGCGGGCCTCACCTGCCTACCGTCACCAGGAACGTGACCCTGTGGTCAGAGAAGCATCAGCGCCCATCGACCGTCAGAGAGAACACGCTCTCCCTCGGCTTGCCCGTGATCGACGGCGACGGGGCCCCTCTGGTGGATGGCTTCTCACGCAGCCCTTATACCAAGGCATTGGAAAGCATGGGGGTCCAAGAAGCAGGGGCCCTGGTCGGGAACGGCATGAGCATCCCCCTTGTGGGCGCTTTGTACCTCTACGTCTGGTCCAATTTGGTTCGCAAGGACGACCTGATGCCCTCCCCGGAGACCGTGTTCGACCGCCTCGGCGGGGCCGTGAAGAAGCAGCGCTCGGTTGTGGACCTGACGGAGGACACCGACGATGAAGAGGACCCGGCGACGGTCGGCGGCCCTTCTTCGAGTTCGAGCGCGGCCGCCCCTCAAGGCCCTCTTCGCGAGCCTCAGCCAGCCGAACTACCAAGGGCTCCCCAGATGACCCATGGCCTACTTGAGCTCCCAGAGAAGAAGGACTTTTCGAGCTTGGACGGCTTGCCCATAGCGGTCCCGCCGGGGCCCCCGCACTCCCAGTCCCAGGGCGATGGCCTCGGTAAGATCAGTGAGCGCAATTTCTGGACAGACCCCCAGCTCCCCGACTCGTGTTGCGAGCTGGGCTATGAAGCCTAGTAATGGTAGCAGCGATTAGGACGCAGAGGGGAGGGGTGAGAGCGCGGGGCGAGGACGCGGGAGAGGGGAAGGATGGGGGAGGGGGGGGGCAGCAGCGAAATCAGGGGGGGGCCCGGGGCCCGCGGCAAGCGCATCCTCCACGCAGCCTGGAGCCGCCGGCAGGCATGGGCCTGCGGCAAGAGTGGCTCTGTCCTCTCCCGTCGCCCCTCGCTTCGCCCCTCCTTCCTGGGCGCCCCCCCCCCCCCCGGCTCGTCTACCTTCTGCTTTAGATTCGAGGTCGCGCCGGCGCAAAAGGAGTTGCCAAGGAGTTGCACAGTGAATCCACTGCCCCCTCTCGTCATCCTTGACCTCCCACTGACCTCTTGCTCGTCTTCCCCCATCCCCATCCCCCCCCCTCTTAGCGGGCGGGGAACGGGCCCAAAGCGAGACGGCCCTGGGCCCAGGCGGGGCCAGCTCTTCACCCCAAGTCGTTTTTGACGGTCCTGGGGCCCGCCGAGGGCCCCCTCCCCCCCAGGCGGCCGACAGCGGCATCGAGAACAAACCTGCGCGACCAATTGCCTTCAAAGGCCCCTCCCCCTGGCGATCCCCCTCCTCCCCCTCCCCCCTCCTCCCGCCCAGGGGCAAGGGGAAGCGCGGCCTCGCGCAACAGGCCGGGCCCCGCGGCCCCGCCAGCCGCTGGCCGTGCGGCCGCGCGGGTTCGAGCCGCCAGCCGCGAGGCGCAGCGGTCTTGCCATTCCACCCCTCCTCTCCCCCTCCTCCTCCTCCTCCCCCAGGCTCCCCCCCCTCCTCCTCCCTTCGATCCCTGCTTCCGCCTCAGCGGCCTCCTGGGGGCGAACTGCTGTGGGCGTCGTGGCAAGGGCCGCCGCGCGGCCCAAGCACAGCTCAGGAGCATCGCCGCATCGCGCTTAGCATAGCATGGAGTGCCCCTTCGGTGCTGACGAATGCGCTGGCTTGGACTTAGTCGGCGGCGGCTCCGGCGGCGCTCCGGGCCCAGAGAGCTGGGGCCCAGCTGCCGAAGTGGCGCAGCCTGCTGCGCAGACTACGGCTGAGTTATTGACTCAATTCTTCGGTAATCCCGACGTGTGCGTCGTCTGTGGCGAGCCCCGGTACATGCGCCATCGCTTCTGCAAGACTCGCAAGTCAGTGGCGGAGTCTTTGCGAACGGACGCGGAGAGGCAGGATGCTGAGATGTCCAAGGCTCTAGGCAAGGAGGCGAGTGACGCACGCAAGGAGGCAATGGCAGATCCAACCATGTGCGTGATCAAAATAAGAAAAGCAGAGGAGGACAGTCCCCTGAGCTGCATGGGCAAAAAGCGGCTCAAGTTCGACCACTTGGAATATTCCCATACGCACAGAAAGCAGAACGTATCAGAGGATTTCGCCTTGCTCAAGAGGGTCGACCTCATCGAGTACACCATCATGATGGAAAGGAAACGCCGTTGGACTCCTGCGCGCTGCTTGGAGGAGTGGGAGAAGTTCCGGCTGGGCGCCAAGACAGGCCGAGACATGGCAGGGAAAGAGAAAGGCTTTGAGCTCAGGCTGCGGCCCCCTAAGGGCGATTACGTGAAGGCGGGCGCCGCCAACGTTGAGGGGCGGGCGGCCACGAATGTTGCAAAGAAAATGAAATCGGCAACGGCGTCAGAGCTTGCAACGCTGAGGGGAGAACTGGGCATGGGTATGCAGGGCTTCAACAGCGACTTCCATGGCAATATTGGTGGCATGAGCAGCGCACCGAGTTTCTCTACGCCCCTGGGGCCCAATGCCATGTTGGGTCAGATGGCCCCGTCTGCGCCGCAGGCTGCCCCTGCCGCCCCGGAGCCAGCGACGCCGGCGCGAACGTCCACCGCAGCTCCAGGCCCCGAGTGCAGAAGCAAAGGGTTGTCTCGGGCCCTCCTCCCAGCACCTCCCGGCCCAGGGCTTTCTCTCCTGGACTCCTGGTGCCCCAGGGCTTGGATGTAGCAGCGGCCCCGGGGCTTTTTCTGCCTATCCCCTTTCCCCCAGGGCCCCGGGGCCCCCCCGCCCTGCCGCCCCCCCCCCCTCCCCCCTCCCAAGGCGACCCCCTTGCTTCTCTCGTTGGGAGGTTCGTCGCCGGGGGCTCCGAGCTGCTCGAGCCCCTGGTCAGAGGCTCAGAGCGGCAGCGGGCCCCCTGGCCAGCCGGGCGGCGGCGGCACTGGCGGCGGTGGGCCCGCTCCGAAGCCGACGCCGACGCTGGGCGCGGCCCTGCGCGTCAGCGCTGCCAACAAGCTCATGAGGGAGCACGCCGCCGAGGTCACTAAGTTGTGCGACATCTTGGGCAAGGCGCAGGACGCCATGGAGGTCGACAATGCGTCGATGACTGATGACAAGGGCCACCTCGACATCTTATCTCAGCGGACCGACATGCTAAAGCAGGTGCTCCTGGTGGTGCTGAAGGAGGGCCCCGACCAGGATCCCCAGGGCAAGGTTAAGCGGTGCCACCCCAAGGTTACAATCCACCAGAAGGTCAATGGGAAGTTCAAGACTACCATTTCTTCGGATCACGTCCAGGAGGTCGTCGTCAAGAGCGAGCCTGGCCAAGTGAGCTTCGCGAAGCACTTCCAGAAAGAGATCGTCGCTGAGCAAGGGGACATTCAGTCCATGCTTGATAGGTGCCAGGGCACGTGGCACTCAGTGAACTCGCCCCAGGGCTTAGCCCGATTATATGGCTTCCTCCTGCCCCATGCCCCCGTCCAGCCCCCGGCCCCCAGCTCGAGCCCCCCGCCCCGCCCCTCCCCTCCAACCTCGCCCCCTCTCGCCCAGGGCGCCCCCGCGCCCGCCCCCGCGTTCTCAGGGGGCGGGGGGGCACTAATAACAGTAAGTTCCGACGAACATAGTTTGGCAGAGATCGGGGAATTACAATTGCAGGTGCAGGTGCCAGCTATGTGGCACCGCTGCTACCCTCCAGTGCACTACGTTTGGTCTCCATGTAGTGGAGTCTACGCTGGTAGGTTGCAGCCCATGCGCCATTCTAGAATGGCGCATGGGCTCCGAAAATATGCCTCGCACGTCTTACTTGCAGCCCCCGCCTACAATGCCCCCGCCATTCTGTCTCCCGCGAAGGCATGCATACGTTCCAATCGAGAACCCTGGGGACTTGAAGAATGTTGGGATGAACAGCATGCTTGCCAGCGACGTGAGCTCGATGGACACGACTGCAGAGGTGAAACAAGCAGCCAACGACTGGACCGCCGCAAAGTTGGCGTGGAAGCAGTTGTTCAAGGCCGTGAACAAAGCCATTGTAGACCTGCAGAGCAACATCAAGCGGCGCTTCCAGGCGCTCGAGAAAGAGAAGACTGAGGCGGAGAAATCCCAGGCGATATTGGCAGCGAGGCTCAGGCAGGAACAGGGGCAGAGGGCTGCCGAGCAGAAGGCGCGAGTCCGAATCAACGCAGACATCTTTAAGCTCAGGTTCGACGGGGAAATGGTTACCCCGATGTACCGCAGCGATATGGAGTTCACAACTGCCCTGACAACGAATGGGGTGGACCACATGAAGCCGTTCGCCGTCGTGGGCGCCGCCGCGCAGAGCTTCGCCGAGGGGGACGCTGCCGAGCCCATGCTGCAGAGGTTTCTAATTGGGAAAGGGGTTGGTTCCATTCCTCTGGCCCCTGCTCTGCCCCTTGTCGCCGCTGCTGGGCGCGCTCGAAAACTAGCGGGCGCGCGCCCGACGCGCGGGGCCCGGGCCTGAGCGACCCGCGCTCGCACTGCATTTCGAATTCTGGGTTAGGTTTTGGGAGTCGTTGTCTAGGGGAGGTCCGGGGGCCCGAGGGCGCTCTCACTCGAATTGGCGATCTCCCGAGGTTCTTAGCTCAGTACAAAGGGGGTGCCGTCGTTCAAGGACAGCTCAGGGGAGGGCCGCATCTTCGCGCCTGTGTCGGTCGCTAGCGCGGCCGCCGCAATGAAGAGCTTGATCAGCACCTTCGTCCCTGAAGAGAACCATCCAAGCATCGACCCCTCCCTGGTGGACATGGGGAAGTTGACGTGGCCATGGCTCTACGGCATGCGGGGCGACCTCGTCCACTCTGACACGGAGTCCCACGGGTTGGGGTCGATCCGAATCGTTCTCGGCGGGGAGGTCTCCATCGCGTGCTTGATTGGGTCCGCGGCTACGGGGGCCAGTCTCGGCATCGAGGCCGAGAGCGCAAACCTGGCGCCGAACGTCCTTCGTTTCAGCTGCATGTCGCAGGAGGACCTCGATTCGCTGAAGGGCGAGGTGTTCTTCATCACCGCGCCGACGAACAGCGTCATCTACCTGCCCCCGGGCTGCCGCGCCATCACGACGCCGACCAACAAGCCATGCAGCGTGTGCGGGATGATGCAGATCGCGATGCCAGCTGCGATTCCGCCTGATGGGATGGCCGGGGTCATGGCTCCGTGGACGTCCATTTTCGCTAACTCGTTGAAGCTGAAGGATAGGGGCAACCTCGATGTACTGATCAAAGCTTGGGATCCTGAGGGGCCCCACCGCAGCGTACCCAAGGCGTCCTCCCTTGCCAAGGAGGAGCAACGTGAAGACGGTGACGAGGCTGCCAGTCGCAGGCATGATGGGATGGCCACGCCAGTACTAGCACCACGGGGTCCTGGCGCTGTTGGCCAGGAGGGCGGGGCGGGCCAGGAGGGGCACAAGGGGGGGAGCTACGACAAGGATGGCGAGGGGCCCAAGAAGAGCGACGACGAGGATCTCGAGGGGCCCGTCGAGGGGCCCAAGATGGGCGACACGGAGGATGGCGAGGAGACCGAGATGGGCGACGCCAAGGCCGCCAAGGATGACAATGGGCCCAAGGAGGGCGACGACACGAACGGCGAGACCGAGGGTGCCGACATGAAGGGGGGCGGCGGCGAGGCGAAGGCGGCTGCGGTAGGGGCCGGGGCCGCAGGCCAAGTGGCCGATGCGGCCCCAGCCAAGGAGGCCGCCCCTGCGCCCGGGGCTGAGGATGAGGCTGCCTCGGCCTCAGCTGGCGGCGCGACCGTGGGGGCGACGCCGACCACGGCCCCGGCGCAGAAGCGGGCGAGGACGGTGGCCGAGGGCTCCGGCAAGGAGGGCCAGGTGCCGGATAAGTCCAAGGAGGGCGGGGCGGGCCACTGCCAGGAGGGGCGCGCGGGGGAGAGCTACGACAAGGTCGGCGAGGGGCCCAAGAAGGGCGACGACGAGATCGGCGAGGGGCCCAAGATGGGCGACATGGAGGGCGATGACAAGGTCAAGGAGGGCCAGGCGGGCCAGGAGGAGCGCGAGGAGGGCGACAACGAGGATGGCGAGGAGACCGAGATGGGCGACGCCAAGGATGGCAAGCCCAAGGAGGGCGACGACAAGAACGGCGAGACCGAGGGCACCGACATGAAGGGGAGCGGCGGCGAGGCGGAGGCGGCTGCGGTAGGGGCCGCAGGCCAAGTGGCCGATGCGGCCCCAGCCAGGGAGGCCGCCCCTGCGCCCGGGGCTGAGGATGAGGCTGCCTCGGCCTCATGCAGCTGGCGGCGCGACCGTGGGCGCGCAGAAGCGGGCGAGGAGGAGTTCCCCCGCGGTCGCCGCCAAGTCAGCGGCCAAGGCGGCGAAGTCGGCGAAGGCGGCGGCCAAGGCGGCGTCGGTGCCCGCCTCGTTCTTCAAGAAGATTTGAGGGCTGGCAGCTTGCTTGCAGGCTGCCCATTCGATTAATTTGTCCTTGTCGCCCGCCGCCGCGGGGATCTGCAAACGCGGAGAACGCGTGCGAGCACGCGTCATGTACAGCGGTGGCGGGCGGCGGGCGACAAGGCGTCCCCACCCTCCTCCTTAGTCCCTCCTCCTTCACCTTCCCCTCCCCCCCACTTCCCCGCCCCTCCCCCCTGCCGCCCCCCTCTCCTCTCTGGCCCATCCCCCTCCCCACAGGGGCCCCCATCCTCTCTCCCCCCTCCCCTCTCTGGCCCCCACTTCCCCGCCCCTCTCCCACTGCCGCCCCTCCAGCACCTGTGCACAGGGGCGACTCCTTGTCTCGGAGCCGATCACCGATTGCCAGGAAGATGCAGTTCTCAGGTGGGTCCAAGAAACAATTGCAGGGTGGTGCGTCGGTTTCCAAGCCAGATCCGGACGAGGCCTTGCCAGAGACACAGGACTACCGAGAGGAAGCGCCTGTCAGGCACTCCCCCCCGTCTTCGGGGGGCTCAGACACCAGGAGCTCTACCTCAGGATCTGAAGCGGAGGTCGACTCGCCTGACAGGAGGTCGCAACCAGCTCCCAAAAGCTGGGAACAGGACAAGAAGCCCTGGATCAGCAAGTTGGGCCCACCTGTGTTCAAGTCACAGTTGGAATACGACCACTCAGGCTGCCCAATATTCGCTCCGAAGGGCGGCACAGACCACACGAGCTCAAGGCGTTACATTATGGTTTTCGTACCTCAGCTCACGGGTTTGAATACCTTCAAGGCCAAGGTTGGAGAACATTTCCAAATCATCACAGTTCGTGAGCTGACGCCTTTCATCATTGATAATCAAGGTCCCTTGGTTTCAGACAGTATTCCAGTCTTGGGAGAGCACGGATACCTCACTACCAGGGATGTCACGAAGATTCTTTGGCACTTTGGGCTCCAAACATTTCGTTTCAAGGACATTCATTTGTTCAATGCGCGCTTTTACACCAAAGAGGCCTTTATTGGCCCAGAGGTCTCCCAAAGAAGGAGAGGTCTCCCAAGAAAGATCTTGTTAGTCAAATTTGGGCATCCCTTTTCTTCTGTTTCTCTATCTTCATTCAACACAAGAGGAACCTAGTGGTGGGATTTATTTGGGATCTTGGACAGTCTTTCATTTATGTTTTCTTTCAGTATCCTGGGTTTCAATCCTGGGTTGGGCTTTACCTATTCTCCGCTTCTATTCTTTCCTGCTTCTTCGCCTTCTTTCTCTCTCTACCTTACGCATTTGGCGTATTGGTGGCTTCTCAGGTTTGTGTTATGGGGGGACCGACCTTTCAAGGCGCTTCATCATCATCATCATCATCATCCCCCTCCCCCTCCTCATCCTTCTCCTCTTCCCGGGGGCTGCCCTGGCGACCTGGCGATCGCAGTGGCGCAGCGCGCGTGCCGCTCAGGCGGCTCAGAATATCCAGAGTGAGAAGTCAATAGCAACATCCGTCGTATGTGTTCCACCCTCTGCCCTCTGCCCCTGCTCCCTCCCCCCCCGCTGCCCGTCGTGCTCTTCCTGATTCCCCCATGGGACCTGGAGCCCCCTTCCACCCCTCCCGGGGTCCAGTCTGGCCAATTGTTCTTTCCGGATCGATTTGCAACGGTCCCGGGGCCCGACGCAAAGCGAGGGAGTGCCAAAGAGGGGGCTCGGATTGCAAATAAGAGGAGAGCCCCATCTCAAGAGGAGTGCGAGGGAGAGACATAGCGAGGAGGAGGGAGTTAGGTAGAGACGAGGAGAGGGGAGGATTCCAGGCGAACGATGCGACTCCGGGGGGGGGAGGGGTTGCCTTTCTCTCCTGCCCCCCGTTCCCTCCTCTCCCTCCTCCGTCCTGCTCCCGCTCCCTCCCCCCTTTTCGCCTCGTCTCTACCCCCCGTCCTCCTCCATCTCTGCGTTCTTCCCGCGTCGCCTTTCCCGCGCCTGCCCCCATGCTCTCATCGGCTTGTCTTGGCGGGCCGGCTGGTTTGAGGGAATTGTTCACACTTCGCGAATTCCCGCTGGCCCATCCTGAGACAGCAACCTCTGCGAAGTTCTGCGAAGTGCACCAGTTATCAGGAGTTGTTGGTATGTGAGTTATCAGGAGTTGGCCGTTTCGGGCCCCTGTAGGGCCCTCTTGGGCGCCAAGAAAGGCCACGCAGGGTCTCAAGAGAGCTCCAAGAAGGCCCCAAGAGGGCACCGAGAGGGCCCCAGAGGGGCTCCAAGAAGGCACCCCAAGGGCCCCCTTCCGAAAAATATGATGTTTTCCAGGGGCTCTTCCCGCCCCCTTCCAAACAATAAAATATGTGTCGGGGGCTCTTCCCTCTGATGGCCGTTTCGGGCCCCTGTAGGACCTTGTTGGGCGCCAAGAAAGGCCACAAAGGGCTTCAAGAGGGTTCCAAGAAGGCCCCAGGAGGGCCCCGAGAGAGCCCCAGAGGGGCTCCAAGAAGGCCCCCCAAGGCCCAAGGGCCTTTCCGAGAAATATAATATTTTTCGTGGGCTAACCATTTCCCGGAGGGGAAAAACAGGATTGAAAATTGAATCGCTCAAAAGCACTCACGCCCTAACGGGTTGGTGTGTTCTCTTGTGAAAAACTCAAGCATTCGCTTTCCTTGTGCTAGCACATTGATTCGAGCGGCAATCGACGGCAGTGGCCGCGATTGCTGGTGTCGGCCACGGCCAAGGCCGCTTGACCCGCACTGCGGGCTTTACCAGTGGAAGCCCTTAGGGAAACACGTAGGGGAAGGAAGAGGAGGACGAGGAGAATGAGGAGAAGAAGGAAAAGGGAGGAGGAGGCGGAGGAGGAAAAGGAAAAGGAGGAGGAGGAGGAGGCCTCTAGGGAGTCAGTTTGGACATTCTTGGGGCCGTCTGGGGGCGTCCTGGGCGCCATTTGGATGCCTCTTGGGGGCCTCCTTGTGCCTCTTGGGGGGACTTCTTGGGAGCCCACCCGCGATCTGATGTTTATTTGGCTGCGCAACGTTGCACAGCAGACCGGTTCAGAGAGGGAGTGACTGGCTGTGAGCCATTGTCGGGGGCGTGCAGCACTCGGTGCAGTCGGGCGGACGGCAACGGGGGGGGCAACAAGCGAGGGGGGCAACAAGCGCAGGACAGTTGCCCTTCAGGGGCCATAAAGGCCCCCCATCTGCCACCGCGGGCACAAAAGGTCGACGCAACGTGCACGTTGCTTCACCGCACGTCTATTGTCCCCCCCGTTACTGGACACCCGATGTAGGCTGCAGGCCAGAGAAGGACGAGGATGATGGAGGGCGGGGGAGGTTGGGCGGACGCAGGCCGCTCCGACCTCGGAACCGACTGCCGCACCCACGGCGGCACCGACGGCCTCGCCGACGGCGGCGCCGACCTCGCCGACGGAGGTTCCCGCTGGTGCCGTTGCCGCTGCTCGGCCGCCCCGCGTCGATCTTTCGAGGCTCCTGGGTCGAAGCTCTTGCATGTGGCTGCCTCTTTGGCCGTCTTAGGGCGTTCTTGGCCCCCAAGATGCCGTCGGAAGCCGCCATGTGGGCCTCTCTGGACCGTCTTGTGGCCCTCTTGCGGCGCTTCATGGCCGTCTCGGAGGCCATCGTGGGCGTCTTGGAAGCCTCTGGGGCCGCCTCAGGCCCTCGTCTTGGAGCCCTCTGGGGCCGCCTCAGGCCCTCAAGCCCGTTATGGGACCATCTTGAAGGCCTATTGGGCGATCTTAGGGCGATCTGCGGGGCCTCTTGGGCCGTCGGAAAGCCGAAAATAAGCAAACCACAACATCCTTCAAGAACCCAAGGCATAACCACTGATATGTGCTTCGGGCCTTCCTGGAGGCCCTTTTGAAGGCCTCTTGTGCCGTCTTCGAGGCCTCTTGGGGGCTTCTCGGGTCGTCTTGGGCCATCTTGGAGACATCTTGGGCCGTCTTGGTGGCTTCTTAGGCGGACTTGGGGGCATCTTAGACCCTCTTGGGCCGTCTTGGAGGCAATTTTTGACGATCTTTGGCGAACTTGGAGCCCATCTTGGGCCATCTTGGCCGTCCTGGAGGCCCTCTGGGCACCGTTTTGACCAGGGAGACCAACGTGCGTTGCACATTCCAGGTGGCCGGCGCGCTGGGCCGTAGCCCCAGGGAGAGTTCTAAAAGAACCCCTGAACTTCAGCACGACTGGAACCCCTGTGGCAAGCCAGCAGGAAGCACGCCAGGCATCCGTGTGGCAAGCCAGCGGGGCGGCGGATCGAAGACGCCTGCGGCGAATCACCGCCGCCCCCTGCTTTTCTGGAAGCGCTTATGTGGCCGAACGTTGGGCTCGAGCTGAGCCAAGCTATCGCGCCATGTGTTCCCCCAGCCGTTGTGGAAGCCCTTCGGGGAATACGTGAGGAAAAGGATAATGATGATCATAAGGAAAAGGGAGGAGGAGGAGGAGGAGGAGGAGGAGGAGGAGGAAGAGGAGGAGGAGGAGGAGGAGCTCCTCCTCCTCCTCCTCCTCTTCCTCCTCCACCTCCTCTTCATCCCGAACGGCATCTCGGAGCCCAGAGTTGCGAGGATGTCTCCAGCGTAACGGGCTGGACCACCTCGCGCGCGGCATCTCGGAACCCAGAGTTGCGACGTTGTCTCGGGCGAAACGTGCTGCGAGGAAGTCTCAAGCGAAACGGGCCGGACCACCTCGAGCGCGGCGTCTCAGAGCTCCGAGTTGCAGGGGCCTCCTGGGGCCTCCTTGGGACCTCCTGGGGCTTCCTCCTGGGCCTCCTGTGGCCTCCTGGACTCCACCTGGGGCTTCCTGAAGCCTCTTGGGGCTCCCAGGGCTGGATATCTAACATGTGGACGTTTGGGCCCCTCCAAATAGGGGGTGGGTGGGGGGCCACAAGAGCAGGAAAAATCAACGAATCGTCACTGGATGTGTATTAATTTGACACGTTCTGATAGGGGGCCTCCTGGGGCCTCCTGGGAGCCTCCTGGGAATCTCCTGGGGACCCCTGGGGCATGTCCTGGGCGTCCTGCGGCCCCCTGGAGCTCTCTGGCGCCTCCTGGGGCTCCCAGGGTCCCAGGGAGGGTATGTAACATGTGGTCTTCTGGGCCCCAAGGCTGGACCACCTCTTGCGCGGCATGTGGGAGCTCAGAGTTGTGAGAATGTCTTGTGCGAAACAAGCCGGACCACCTCTTGCGCACGGCATCGCAGAGCTCAGAGTTGCGAGGATGTCTCAGGCGAAACGGGCCGGACCACTTCGCGCAGGGCATTTCAGAGCTCAGAGTTGCGAGGATGTCTCACGCGAAACGGGCTGGACCACGTCGCGCGTGGCAGCTCAGAGCTCAGAGTTTCGAGGATGTCTCAGGCGAAATGGGCCAGACCACCTCGCGCGCGGCATCTCAGAGCTCAGAGTTTGGAGGACGTCTCAGACGAAAAGGGCCGCACCACCTCTCGCGCGGTATCTCGGAATGCAAAAGTGCGAGGATGTCTCAAGTGAAACGGGCCGGACCACCTCTTGGGCGGCAGCTCGGGGCTCAGAGTTTGGAGGATGTCTCAAGCGAAACGGGCCAGACCAACTCTCGCGCGGCATCAGAGAGCGCAGAGTTGCGAGGATGTCTCAGGCAAAACGGGCCGGACCACCTCGCGCAGGGCATATCAGGGCTCAGAGTTTCGAGGATGTCTCAAGCGAAACGGGCCGGACCACCTATTGCACGGCATCTCGGAGCCCAGAGTTTCGAGGATGTCTCAGGCGAAATGGGCTGGACCACCTCTTGCGCGGCATCTCAGAACTCAGAGTTGCGAGAGTGTCTCAGGCGAAACGCGCCGGACCACCTCGCGCATGGCATCTCAGAGCCCAGAGTTTGGAGGATGCCTCAGGCGATACGGGCCAGACCACCTCTCGTTGGAGGATGTCTCAGGCGAAACGGGTCGGACCACCTCGCGCACGGCATCTCAGAGCTCAGAGTTTGGAGGATGTCTCAGGCGAAACGGGCCGGACCACCTCTTGCACGGGATCTGGAAACTCAGAGTTTGGAGGATGTCTCACGCGAAACGCCCAATCCCGGACAACTCAGAAACGAGAGTTGCGAGGATGTCTCAGGCGAAACGGCCTGGACCACCAAATTTTTTTGAGGACGTCTCTGCTTTGATTTCCCTCGGCCGGAGTTAGCTTCTATCACAACAGCACCCCGTTCAGCAAGCTGTTTGGGGAAATACCCTGGGGACGGTGTTCGATTATTTTGGGACTATTTTTGAGCATTTTTTGAATATTCTGCATTTTTCCTCCAAGATCCGCCTGTAAAAGGACATGCCCGACCTAACCCTCGTGGGGGGTGGGGGGGGACTGGAGACCTCCGGGGCGCCGCCCGGCGCCTTCTCGCGGCCGTCCTGGGGGAGGCCTCTGGGCCCGAGCTGCAGCATTCTCGGGGGCGGAAGTTGGGCCGTCGTTCGGGCGATCGCAAACAGAGATCAAGGGGGTGTGGATTAGCGACGGGCCCCGCTTCCATCGGAAATCGCGGATTTCCACCGCCGAGCGAGGCGGCACCAGTCGCGTTCTGGGGAGGGCACCTCCCCCGACCCACGGATCTGGCGGCCGCGCGCCCAATCCATGGATCGCTGATGCATGTTTGCGCGCCCCCGAGCCGTGGACAGTCGGAAGACTGGATACTGCCAAGATCTGGGGCGCCCACGGAGGGCGCGAGATTGGTCGCGCCTCGCGCGTCGCGGTCTGGGCCGGTTGCGGGTAGCCCTCTTCTCCCGGGAGGGCGCCCGCGGGGGTGCGAAGGCAGCCGCGCACCGCGGGGCGGCGGTGCGAGGCATCGGGTGGCCAAGGTGCGGTAGGTTCGCGCCGTTTTTAGACCAGCGGCGACCCCGCCGCGGGCGGTCAAGGTTGAGCGCCGCCGGTGGCCCAGAATCGACCTAGATTCGGAGGTGGACAGACCTCCTACACTGACGCGTCGATGAAGGAATTGGCTGTTGTCGGTTCGCGAGAGGGCGTCGCGGGCGTCATTTTTACGGGTCCAGGTCCGTCGATTTGAAAGAGCGTGTTCTGTGGTCGCTTGGAGGGGGGGGTTGGAACCAGACCCCCTCTCTGGATGGCGGGGGGGGGGTCCGAACCCCCCCCCCCTCCCTGGATGGGGGGGGCGGTTCGAACCCCCAGGGAGGGCTCAGCCTCGGCTGCGTCGGCGTAGTGCGCGTTCGCCAGCTTCGGCATGCTGGGCCGTCTCGCCACCTCGCGGCCCCCTGCCGGACGCTGGAAGAGATTCGAGATTCCCCGCCGCGGCCGCTGGCGGAGTGTTCGCGGGGGCCGCCTCGCCGAACGGCACGGGGGCGCGTGCGTGGAGCTTCTGAGCCAGCCCGTGTTCGCGGTGCCCTCGCCTGTGCCGCGGCCCGCCTGGGCGCCCCAATCATCGTCGCTTTCTGGCCGCGGGGGGTTTGCTCGTGCTGGTGGTTCCATTGGTCTTTGGCGTCTGGGACCTGTCGCTCGGAAAGCGGTGCGACCTGGCCCAGCGAGACAACCGAATGATGATGTTCTTTTGGCTTCGTGCAGGCCGGCTGCTGGGCTGGCATGCTGGCGCCCCGCGCCGCGCCCTCGCTCGCGCCGGAGGTCGCGGGATCGGCCCCCCAGCTGTTCGACCAGAAGAGTTCTTGCTCGGGCTCCCAGGCCTTTCCTTTGTCCGGGCCCAGGTGGGCGCGCCAAACTGTCGAAATCAGTTCGTGGCTTCTCTCGCGCGAGCCACACTCTTGCGCTGCAGGTCCCTTGTTCGGTCTAGAACGTCTCCCCAGTTGTTGTGTTGTCGTGGTCGCTTCCATGTGCATGCGTGGAACCCGATGGAGTAAAGAAGCGGGTCTCCTGCCTGGCTGGCTAGATCCAACTCCCCGGCGCAACGCGAGATGTCAGGGGTCTAAGCGTAGAATTTTTGTTCGCGCGGGCGAGAGACGAGAGATCCTCTGTCGCAGGATGCCCCGCGGCATCTTCGCTACGGCTGCCGCCGCGCTCTATCCCCCCTGTTCTGTAAAGCTCCTAGCTCTCCTCTTTCAGAACGTTCGCGTTGCGCGAATGGCTGCCTCTTTTGACGCGCACTGGATCTTTTCTGCGTAACCAGTTTGCAAGCATCCCTGCATATTTGGCGTTTCGATGATGTTCTCAGCCGGTGCACCCGAGGCGCAGTGGTTCGCCTCCAGAATGCAGCTCGCGCTCACAGTTGGTTTCTGGCACGAGGAGCTCACATGGTTGTTGTGCTTGCGCGGTATTCATTTTGCGCAATCCGCTGCCATTCCGGGTGTCAAGGCGTACCGCCATCCATTCCCTCCTTTTTCCTTCTCTTTTGCTCCTTGGCATTGCGATCGTGTTCTCAGCCGGTGCACCCCGAGGCGCACTGGCCCGCTTCCAGTATGCAGTTCGCCCTCACACCTGAGTTCTTGCAAACAAGATTCTGATGATGAGTGTGGCCCCCTCCCTGTCCATAGCCTCCTGCTCCCCCTCATCCTTTATCTTGGACGCTTTTTGGCAGCTTGTTCGGTGCATCTTGGGGCTCTGGAGCCTCGTTGGGGCGCGCTGGCGCCCCTTAAAGGGTTTCGGGGTTGTGTTGGGCGCGATGGCGCTACCCATTTCCACGTTGGGACGTCTGGGCGGGTCTTGTGGCTGTCGTGGGTTTCTGCTAAAGCAGCACTGGGCCGTCTCGTCTCTATGGGGTTTATCGAGCCATCTCGAGCCTCTCGTAGGGGTTTTCTTGAGCCGTGTTGAGGGCCCTTTAATGCTCTCTCAAATGATTCCGATGCGACCTTAAGCAAAACAATTGGAAGCAACGACGCATCTTTTTTTCTAGGTTTTGCAGTGCCCAAAGGGCATCTTGCTAACGTTGGATTGGTCTTTCGGTTTCTGTGTGGTCGTTTATGGGCTCGATAATAGCGCCAGGAAGCCACATCATGGGGGACGGCTTTCGGACCCGTACTGCTGCGAGATGGAGGGGGATCGGCCTCGGAAAACGACGGAGTCTCCGCCAGGCAATCAGCAAACATATTAACGCTCAGCTATCTCGCAAGCGCGGTGGCGGACTCTTGTGTCACCTTCAGACATCGTCACGTTGTATTTGAATAGGCGGTACCCGCTCGAGACCTCCTTCGAACCCTCAGAGACATGCGGCTCTCGCTCGTTAATTATTGCGCTTTTATTCGGAATGCGGCTAGGTCGTGCCCGCACCACCGACGCCGTTCCCAAGCACAACATACGTTTTTTGCAATGACATGGATGATGGGGCGTTGGATTCGCATGGGGATGACTGCTTGTGGTGGGCCGCCAATGCAGAACTCTGCCAGTACAGCTTTATTTACGACGACGGGGATTTCAGTGCGACCGATATGTGCTGTGCTTGCAAAGATATCCCAGACTGCAGCGAATCCATCGATGGTGGTGGCTGGGTTTTAGTCCGGCACACTGCTGGGAGCGGGAATTGGGGCCCTTTCACGGACGGCCTGATGGGGACTGACGTATTAGAGGTTGGGAACGGCGCAGCTGCAGGGACGGCGCTCGATTCTCAGCATTGGACGCTCCAGTGGGACACACACAGCGTGGACCAGTTCCTCTTCGCCACTGCAGACTGCCAAAAATGGCTCATCGCAAGCCGTGGGGCAGTGGGAGGAAGCATCACTGGAGAGTACTACTACAACGGAACACGGACCATCAACAGATCCTCGTCCTCGAATACGTCTTACAGCGCCGCGTGGCACAACAGAGAAGGCTTCCAGCAGGATCCGTGGATCTCATTAGGTGATGTCCCACAGGGGGTGTTGTACGCCGAAGACTCCTCTGACCTGCATGTTGCCGACAAGAACGCGCACTTTGGAACAAACGTGTACGTGCGTTCAGGTTCTTCCATCGCTCATTACAACGGGTATTACGAGGTGTGGTCTGACCTAGTATTGCAAACCGGGCAAACCTTGATCATTTTCGCAGATGGCACTGCCATGGTTCCCAACATCTTTACCGACTCTCTCCGTTTCGACGCTGGTGTGCAGCTGTATTGCAGCCACGACGCAGACGCTACCATGTATATTATCCAGCTGTCTGCGACAAGTCCGCCACCGTGCCAGCCCAGCATTTTGGGTGGCGACTCTTCGAGGAACACGGGAGGCCGTCACGCGTGACAGTTCGCATATCCAGGCTTGGGAGAGCTATGCTGCTGCTGATGATGATGAGGATGATGAGGATGATGAGGATGAAGAGGATGATGAGGATGATGATGATGCCGATGACGAGGCGTAGGAGGAGAAGGTGGAGGAGGAGGAGGAGGAAGAGCAGGAGGCTAATGATGAGGAGGAGCAGGAAGAGGAAGGCCGTCACATCTGACTCATTTCGTCTTCACTTTTTGAGGATCTCTCATGGAACTCAGTTGGGCTGTCTTTGAACTATCTTGACTTTCTGGGTGGCAGTTTCGGAGGCCCCTTGGGTCCGTCTCGGGGCTTTCTTTGGCCGTCTTGGTGTTGTCTTCGGCCATCTTCGGGCTCTCTTGGGCTGTCTTGGGCTTGTCTTGGCGGTATGGCTGGTGTCTGAGGGCCGTCGTGGGGTCGTTTTGGCGCCGTCTTGGGCTATCCAAGGGTCTTCTAAGGCCGTCTTGGGTCTCTCCGGAGGCTCTCCAAAGCTGGCTTGGGGCCGTCGTCTGGTCCTCTTGAGTCATTTGGTAACCTTCTTGTGGCCTGTTGGGCCGTTTGAGAACATCTTTGGGGCGTCTTGGGCCGTCTTGAGTTGACGGAAGCCCTGAGACGCGAGAATGCGAAAACCCTTCAAATTATTTCGACCGTCGGATCCCACATGAAAATTTGTTTAGCTTGCCCCTCGCTTGTTCCTCTTCGCCTTGGTGGAGGCCCTCCTCCCGCCCTCTGTTGTGCCTCCTCATCATCATTATCCTCATCTTCTCCATTCGTCTCCTCCTCCTTTGCGTCCTTCCCTCCTCCTTCTCCTCCCCCTCCTTCTCCTCCTTCCTCACCTCCCCATCCTCTTTCTTCTCTTCCTCGCCATCCTCCCCCCCGTCCTGTCTGTTTCCCCCGTGCAACTACCCTGCTTCTTGGCCGGGGCAAATCGATTTTCCACGGCACCGCTGCCGCCACGGTTGGCATGGGCGCATTCTCCGATGGCCGGATCGTGAAGCCGTTGGGGCAGCCCCGCGGGCGAGGCCGTTGGGACAACCACGCGAGCCGCTGGGAAGTGGGAGCCGGGACATCCCCGCAGGTGTCGAGCTAGACGCGGTCGCGTTCAGGCGGGGGGTGGCACAAACACCAGCTTTGCCGCGAGCTGCTCCGCCCCAGCGATGGTGATCACCGTTTTCTTGTCGAACTCCCCGAGCGCCTTCCACAAGGACGCCGGCGCCCCGCGCTTCAGAAACGCCCCCGTCGGTGGCCGCAGGACCATGGTGTTCCGCATGCACGCGGCGCGGAGATCATGACGTAAAGGTGCACCAACCACTGCTCGTTCGACATCCCCGCGCGGCCAGCGTCCCCATCCCTGGCGCACTCGACGGTGACGCCCTTGCACAGCTTTTGGGCTTGCGACAGGGAGAACCCCGAGCGGCGCACGACGTGCGTCCCCGAGCTCTGCCAGGTGAACTCCAGCTCGATGGGCCGGAACACGAGCGAACTCCTCGCCCGCGCCTCGGCTTCGCCGTCGTCGTCAGCGCCTTCGGCGCCCTGTAGCAGCAGCTCGGCGACCGCCTTGTGGATCGGGTATTCTTTGACGCCGTGGACATGTATCCACATTCCCTGCAGTAGGCGCCGCGGGCGAAAGAGCTGGAGCTGGCCCGGCCCGCGTTCCTCGCAGCCCCGCTCGTCGTCGGGGCGAAATTCGAAGGACACGATGGTTGCCCGTTGTTCCTTCGCGAGCCCCAACTTCTTCTTCAGCTCTTCTTGCGTTGCCGTGAACGGAGCTTCCATGCGGACGTGTGCCAATAAGACGCCGTGGATGTCCCCCGTCTTGTGCGCGCTCGGGACGTCCAGCAGGCGCAGGCCCGCGTCTGGAGCGCCTTGGATGACGCTGCACTCGTCTACGGCCTGCAGGAAAACGAGGGGCACGCCGAGACGCCGCGCGTCGCGACGAGCGCGCGTGTTGATTCACTTCGCCAGCGTGTCCCAGTTGATGGCCATGCCGTAGCCGAGCCGAAAGTTTTCGTGTTAGTGCCGACGGTCCAGGACGCCGTGGTTGTCTGTGGCCAACGTGTTTCCCCAGGCGGACCAGACAAACAAACGAGGCTCCAGTTTGAGATTTCCGAGATTTCCTCCATGTTCAGGCATGGGGACCCCCAGCAATGACGATTTTTATAGGTTTTTCGGATGACCCGTTCGGATTGCCCAGGTGAGTTGCGGGCCCCATAGGGAAGGAAATCCCGCCTGATATTCCGTTGCAGCTCTCACATACGAGGTTCCCGCTCAAGACTTCCTCCATGTTCATGCCAGGGGAGCCCAAAAGTGATGATGATGATGGTGATGATGATGATGGTGACGACGATGATGATGATCACGGTTGTGATGATGATGGTGATGTTGATGATGATGATGAGTGGTGAATAATGGTTATGAAAAATAATGGTGTTGATGATGGTGATGACACATGGTGTGATTGCGACTGAGTGAGTGGGGGAGTGAGTGAGTGATTTGGGGGATGATGATGATGATGGTGATGATGATGGTGGTAATGCTGATGATACTGATGTTGCTGATGGTGATGTTGATGGTGATTGTGTGGTAAAGATGGAACGATGGTGATGATCGCGGTGTTGTTGATGATGATGGTGGTGATGGCGATGGTGCTGTGTCAGTGCATATATAATGTTTAGTGAGTGTGTGAGCGAGTGAGTGAGTCATGTGGAAAAGGGACGGGTGTGACACGACTGCGCGGAACGTCCACAGATAACTTAATACTCCCTTGGGATGTGGGGAATCAGTAATGCACCCACAAATTCCTACACGCCCTTGAACAGGATGGTGATGACGGAATTGGGAATATGGGCAGCGAAGGGAGCAGAACCGTCACATGCCACACCACTGTTTGCGCGCTTCTGGGTTTCTGATCAATGCGACGTGATCCCAAGGCAAACTCTCTTTGGTTTTTGCGTGGTAGTTCGATGACGCTCTGTAATTTCGGTGCGCATGAGGTATGCAATCATCCATTGCTGGCGGAAGTTTGGACAAAAGGGCTCAAACATGAGTCCCGAGCAGCCTCCTTGGCCTTCTTTGGTCTCTTGTGAGGCAGCCTTGGGCATGCCTTGGCGCCCTCGTGGGTCGGCGTGATGCCCTCTCACGCCGACTTGGGGCTCTCTGGGGCCGTCTTGGGGCCCCACCTGGCCAGATGGTGGGTGCCTGGCGCCCTCGTAGAGCTCGTCTGGGCGCCGTTTTGAGGCCGTCGAAGAGCCTGGCCAGGCCGTTTTGGGCCCCACGGGAGTCCCCTTTGGGCCGTCTTGCCGCCGTCTCGGATGTTCGTTAGGCCATAGGACTCTTGTGGGGCCCGTTTAGGCTGTCTTGGGGTCATCGTGGAGGCTTCTTGGGCCGTCTTGAACTGACGGCAGCCCGAAAATGCGAGACTGCGAAAATCATTCAGAAACTTCAAAACATGTAGCTTCTTCGGACCCTGTGTGGGGTTCTCTTGTCGCACTTTCGGGCCCTCTTGGAGACATCTTGCGCCGTCTTGAAGGCCTGGGAATGCGGGAAGCGCACGATCTTTGAGCGGGTGCGCGTGGGATGAGAGGTCTAGGAGTGATCAGCCATGCGGGAAGTAGCACATCTTCGAGCGGGCGTTCATGGAATGAGGGTTCAGGCGTTAGCTGCCATGCGGGAAGTTTACCATCCTCGAGCGGGCACGCGTGGAATGCCATTGCTGGAACTGCACCATGCTTGAGCGGGCACGAGGGATATGGCTTCGGAAAGGAGGGGTGATGCATGCAACAGTCTGGTGGCAGAGGGGTGGGGGCGGTCCCGTGTTACATACAACAAAACTCCACCAGACAGCCCCTAGCATTCTTCCACGCCTCAATGTGCCAGGGTGGCAAAGTGGCGGATGAACACTCATGGCACTGGCCGGTTTGAGTGTCTCCATGCTGACGGCACGACACTCGCAGGAAATCGTTATTTGGCCAATGGCGAATTTTCCAGCACTGTCGAGTATCGTTTGATAGGTGCACTTGCTGTGGCCGCAACCTTGTGCAATGACACAGATGGCAGCGCGATCAATTCAAACGGAGACGGTTGCACATGGTACGAAGACAACGTGCAGTATTGTGGGCACCTCGACGACGCCGATTTCACCTCCAGCCACATGTGCTGTGCCTGCGGCGGTGGTAGTGGCCGCACAGAGTCTGTCTGCAGAGATAATCTTGGAGCGGTCAGTGGCTTTGCTTGGTCTGACGGGACGAACGGTTGCGACGCCTATGCTACCAATGCTGGATGGTGCAGCTTATATGGTCACATCGCATTCAGTCTACAGGGCAAAGCGAACTGGGCCTGCTGTGCTTGCGGTGGCGGAGTGGTTTACAACGAGGCCTGCGGGGGATCCTTAGTTTTTCCGGGAAGGGCTCCGGCCCAGGGTCTTGTTTTTTCCCGGAAAAGGCTCCGGCCAAGGGTTCCTTCCAGGTGTTCAACCCCGGATCTTATTTGAGGTGGGGTGGCGATATTCTTTGTTACAATTGTCGAGGGAAACAAATGCGTTTCGCGCGTGCCCGCTCGAGGAAAGTGCGCCCCCCATTTCGGATCCTCGATTACTAGGCTAAAACCCACACCATTCCCGGTGGGATCTGTGCGGGGCGTACAGGACTCTCGGGCTTGTTTTGTTTAGCTCTCTTTGGGGCCCTTCTCCTTGCCCTTGTCCGCAGGAGGCCGCAAAGGGGCCGTTCTTTGCGTTGGTGCTTCAGACCCTTGTTTTTTCTGCAAGGTAACAGATCCCACGGAGAATCCCTCGGGCTTTTGCTATTAGAATATTGATCTGTTGTTGTATATCACGACTGAAAGGCCTGATTCTTCAAGCCCTTAAAGACCGTCGTATTTAGTTCAAATCAGCTCCCCACGAGCTGGGCGTTCGGCGCAATGGCTGTCGTTTCACTATATCGAAAAATTCCCCGCCCGCCCTGGCCCTGTGAGTGGGTAGGGTGGTCTTGTTGTGCTGAATTTGGTGAGGGGGTTATGTTCTCTCCTGCCCGGCTCTTCCGTGGCCGTAATCAGTTGCGCGCGCGCCCCCGCTGTCGCGCACCATAAAAAAGCCTTGCGACATCGTCGTCTTCGTCGCCGTCACTGGCATCTGCTCGGTTTGTGGGCGGGTTCATTGATCCCTCGCCCCCTCCCCCGCTGCCGCTGCGGCAGATGCGCTGAGAGCTCGAAGCGGTGAAGGTTCGCGAGCCCTCCTGGTTCGGCCTACGAGCGACGATCTGCAGTCAGAAAGCACTGCTGCTGCCCATGGGATGGGACGGTAAGGGCTCAGTGCTCAGGATCAGCGTGGTCGAGGAAGACGCGCCGCCACTGACCTCGGGGCGGGCCGTGCAGGACCTGAGGGCAGACGTCCACGTGGGGGAGGCCGAGATAACGCTCAGGGCGATCCATCGAACAAGGTGTCCGCTGAGGGGGCTGCAGTCTGAGCACGTGGCCATGTCGGCCATTAACAACGGCCCCGAGGGGCCACGAGCGGGAGCACCTGAAGCAGTGAGCCTCTGCCGGGCGGGGACCGAGGTCGCGCTCTGCGGGCGCGGGCCATCGCGCGGTGGTGTGCGCCGCGCGCACTGCGCGGGCGGTCAGGATGACGACGACGAGCGCGGCGAGATGACGACGAAGGCGACCCCGGCCCCTCTCGGCCCAGACCCACGTGGGCGCGCGCGAGCCGGCGCGCTCCTATGCAGCGCGAGCACTCGCGCGCGCGCCGATGCCGCCATGGCACCTGGCGGTCGTGAAGTGTCGAAGCGGGGCTGCCAGAGGGCGGGCGGCCTTGCAGATGGGTGCTCATGGCCTGGCGGGCCTGGTCCCGGGAACTGCTGGTGGGGCGCCTGGAACGAGAGGCCCGGTCCCTGCGGCAGCGGGGAGGCCAATCTCGGAGCGTCTGGCAGATGCGCAAGGCGGAGTTGGTGACCCTGGCCATCCCGGAGGTCGGTTGGCGCAGGAGCTGAGCGGGGGCAGAGACCGTTGGTCAACTGAGGTTTGCGCTTCGGTAGAAGAGGGGCGGGGCGAAAAAGGGGGAAGTCGAAGAGGCAACTCTCGGGCGACCTTCCCCAGGGGCCTCGCGAATATGGTGCTGGCCAAGCTGCAGGAGGGAGCCGCGGCGCGGCAGATCGAACTGGCTTGGACGGGCGGACGACGCACAACAAAGGAGGGGCTCATCCGAGACGTTGGGCAGCGCGTGAGCGACTGGCAGGCGGGGCGCGAAGGAATCCCGATTGAGCTGGGATCGAGGGCGAGAGGCCCGACCCCGAAGAAAAGGCCCGCCCGATGGGCGACGGAGGAAGCCGTGGAGTTAGTGGCGAGATGGCCGCCTCGGAGAAGGATTCTGGCGACCCCTGGAGGACGCGCGCGGTCTTGTCGGCGACGAGGGCCCGAAGAACGCGGGTGCGTCCGAAGCCGCCGTGTGGAGGGCCAGCGCGCGGGCAGCGGTGCGAAGCTCTGATCGCCACCTGCGAGCAGAGCGCCGTCGCCGTCGGGGGCTGGGTGGCCGAGACCAGCGGCGCTCGACGGGCCCGGCGCTGCCGAGGAACTGACCGCGCGGGCGTGGTTCGGGTGACAAAGTGACGCGAGCCGTGTCGGGTCCAAGAACGGCTGGTGGCGCCTGCTTCCGTGGCAAGGGATGGGGCAGTGACCTCGCTGGGAAGGATGAGCAGGCCGAGGCGCTGGAAATTTTGCGACAGGCGCGTCTGGGGCCGGCCGTTTTGGAAGAAATATGTGACGCTTCGCGTATCCTCACCAGCGTCCGTAGCCCCTTCTGGCTCAAGGCCGTCTGGTGGGCCTGCTCCCTCCGGGGCAATCTCCCACCGCTCAAGGGGGCCCCCTGTACGCTGCGCGGCGGGCCCGAAACCCTGGGCCCCCTCCGGCCCCCCTGCGCGCGCCAGCCATCCCTGCTGCAGCGCAGACAGGCAGCGCGGGCCTCAGTCTCGTGGAGGATCTCTCGGAGGGCGATACGGGGGAACGGGGATCGTTTAGTGCAGAGCCTGGGGGCTGCACTGACCCAGACCGCTCCCCCCCCAGATCCCAGCCAGACCCAGATCCCCCCTGGACAGCCCCCCCCTCGCCCACGGGGCAGATCAGGATCCAGATCTGGTGGCAACAAGGAGACAACAACTCAGAGCGGCCGTCAGCCGCGACCCTGGTTCCCCACGGGGAACATCGGAGGTGTCGGCCACGAGCTGGAACCCCGATGGAGATGGATCTTCAAGAACCCAGGCGGCCGTCAGCCGCGCCCCTGGACTTCCCTCCGAGCGCGGAGTGGAAGAGATGCCGACAATAGCCCAGACGGCCGTCAGCCGTCACCCGGGGCTTCCCTCCGAGCGCGGGGCGGAAGAGGCCTGCGGCCACCCTGGACCGCAGATGGAAAGAGGAACGCGGGCGGCCGCCAGCCGCACCCCAGGTGCTCCCTCCCCGAGCGGACCCGCCGAGCAGGCCGTTGACGGGGGCAGAGACAGCCCGCCGAGAGACAGCTCGAGGCAGGCTGACCTCCCAGAAGGCGCCGCGCCCAGCAATCGTACCGGGCAAGGCCCTGGTAGCCGCGGGGAACCTTGCGCCGCCGCCCCCCCCGCTCCCCGCGCCGATCCCCCCCGGCCCCCCCCCGGCGACGGTCGCCCCAGCAGCGGCAGGCGGATTCGAGAGAGAACTGAATCAGGCGGCCGTCGGCCGCGCCCCTGGTATTCCCAAACTCTCAAGCGAACAGCCGGCTATCAGCCGCGACGCGAGGGGCGGGGGCAACCTCGAGGCAGAGGCCGGCGAGAGTGGCCCCGCGGGAGACAGGGAGGTGCATGGGGGGCGCGAGGAGGCGCCCAGGGCACCAAGGGAAACGGCGGCCAACAGCTGCGAGCAAGGCGCGTCGCGGATCCACACCGCTGGCGACGGGGCACGATCCAACGAACAGGCAGCCATCAGCCACGCCCCCGGCAATCCCACCCTCCCAGGAGGGCAGGCAGACGGCTGCCTTGAGCGGGGCAGCCCCTCGGGAGGGGGGGCAGACGGTGCCCCCTGTAATGGTGCGACGTTGAGACCCCAGGTGTGGACAGCCTGACGTTCGGCAGTGCTGCCAGAATGGATTGCCCCGACCTGGACAGACTGGGGGGGGCAGGCGAGGGCCCAGCGCCAGCTGCGCAGACAGCTCCAGGAACCAGTGAAGCAAGGCACCCCCCAGGAGGGGCTGGAGCCAATGGGCTGCCCCAGTCTCCGGCGCGCGCTATCCCCGACACCATCTCACCGCCCTCGCCTTCCACCCGGCAGGGCCAGACGGGGCGCCTCAGCCCGGGGAAGGCCCCAGGACAGAGGATCGCGGCCCGCTCAACGATCGATCCGAGGGAGGAGGCATGGTCACCGAGCCCCCGACAGCGGTAACAGTGCCGCTGGACAGGAGCCGGTCCCGATCGCTGCTCGCGCCGATCCCGCGCCTCAGGATCTCCCGATCGCCCCCCCCCCTGGCCTCCCCGCTCCGTCGCCCTATATTCCTGGCTCAAGCCGTCACGGGCGGGGAGGGTGCCGACCCTGCCATGCCAGGCTGCCGGAGTCACTTATTCGGGGCGGGAGTCGGGAAGCCGACGGACCCCGCTACGGACCGCGGGTCGCAGACCCCGGGCGTGATGGTCGAGGAGGAACCTTCGACGCACTAGCAGCCCAGTTCGAGCCGCGCGACGGTCCCTGGAGAGAACTGGCGACCGAAGACGGGATGCGCACCGCAGGGGCGCGCGCCGGACTGGAGCTCCTGGTGCACTTCTGCTGGAGCCGTCACCCCCCAGGGCGCCCGGGGTTGGCCCGGCCACCTTGGGCAACGGGGGGCCGCGGGCCGTTGGGGGACGCCCCCGACCCGCTGAGGCCTTCGCCGGAAAGAGGCGAAGGGCGCTGGAGCGACCCCAGCGCCAACCACCGATTCCACGCCCTGGGGCCAGCCTTGGCGCACCTCGACCTATCCTGGCCAGTCTGGTCCATGACCGGGGCCGACTGGCCAGATCCTGTTCAGGTCCTGGCCTTCCGCTACGCCAGCACCACGCAGGGCCCTGCCGTCGATGATGAAGGACTCGACTGCGATAACCCCACTGACACTGAAGTGCTCGCGGCTCACCTCGAGTGCGACGAATATGAATTCGCGGCGCACTGTGCGGACATCGGCTCGGCAGACACCATGGATGACCTCCTTCCGAGCGCCGTGCTCGCACCCGCCAGATGGAGGCGCGATCCCGCCCGGAATAGGGGGGGCCCGAGCAGGAGGGGCACGGCTCCAGACCTCGACCGCAGATTCAAACTCTGCCGCTACCTCGCCCACGAGCCCGGGCAGAACAGGGCCCACTTCCCGGGGCACATCGAGGTAAGAGGATGGGCCAGAG